ATTAAATATAGCTACAGATTTTTTAAAAATCATAATTGCTTAGATTTAATATTATACTTAATTATGCATTCTGATTGATTAACTAGGGTTTCAGGGTTTCAGATTATAGTTTTAGGAGTTTCTGGTTTCGGGGTTTCAGTTTTTTTTTGAAAATCTGAAACTAGTTTCAGGTAGGTTTCGTTTTGAGTCTAACTCTAGTACCCAAGTGAGTGCTATTCAAGAAATTTGATAGTTTATTGAAAAGTACATGGGTATTATAGTAGAGTTGCAGGTGAAACTAATCTTCATTAGTATACCAGATGCACCAGGTAAAACTAATGCACTGATGGTAAAACTAATCTTCAATAGTACACCAGATGCACCAGGTGAAACTAATGCACTGATAGTGAAACTAGAGTTATAAATGAAACTAATCTTCAACAGTACACCAGTTTTCTGGTGAATTAATTAATTTCACCAGCAACTCTATACTGTAATTAGTGCCATATGGTAAAACCTGCCGTGCAATTATATAAAATGTAGAATAAATACTAAAAATATTATATGCATATTACTCTTGATATAATAGACTCTTGATATAACAGAAACTAAGTTAAATTGATATAATGGATCAAGATTCAGATCTACATCATATTAAAAAAACTTCTCACTATGTCCCTGAGATACTATATTATATCGAGAGTAGGAATGGAAACCTACCCGAAACTAGTTTCAGAAGAGTTCTAATCTGAAACTAGGTTTGGATTTTTTAAAAAAAATCGAAACTCCGAAACCCGAAACCCTAAAACTATAATCCGAAACCCAAACCTATAATCTGAAACTCAAAAATATTATTTTATTTTTAATGAGCCCAAAATGTAAAATTATTTTTGAATAAATTATAACATCATATAGATCAATTAAATTATCTATGAAATCGACAAAACAAAAGATCTTCAGAAAATCAATTTTTGTGTTATAAATCTTATAATAGATAAGAAAATACAAGCTATACTGCAAAATTTTATTAACACAACTACTTTTGTATCTTAAGTGAAAAAAGATTCAAATCTTATTCTAAATTAATTTATGTAAAAAAATTTGTTTTGAAAAAATTGTTATTTTCTTTCCTTTTTCCAGCACCTAGCCTATATAAACACATGATAAAAGTCGGAGACAGGTGATCAAAATTGAGATTGAATGAAAAGTTGTTATTAATAATAAAATTATTGTAAAATTACTTAATAATACTTATTCAAACTGACTTTGCCCATCTCTACACAAAAAGGTTTCGGCGCCAACTTCTGAGAGAATAAACAAATAAATTATTGATGTTTTGGCAGTTTTGGGTTTCAGTTGAGGTTTCAGGGTTTTGGTTGAGGTTTCGGGTTTTGGTTGAGATTTTGAGTTTCGGATAAGGTTTTGGAAGCTATAATCCAAAACCCGAAACTTTCAGAAATAGCAAAAAAGGTTTTGGTACTATCTTTGGAATGGGTTTGGTCGGTCATAGTCGATCAATATCGGTTAGCCATGATTGGTCATATTAATACGAATAAATGACTGGTTATAGCTGATGAATTATTTAATCATTTATTCAATCAAATAAGTGACAAGTAGGGATGGGACGAATTTCCTTATGTCAAGAAAATGATCTATATCCGATATAACACCAATTTTGATAATATTATATATATTGTTTATTTTAATATAAAAAAACTTTTCTTATAAGTAAAATTTCATGCTACGCATTTTTTACTTAAAAATAAAGTCCAGTTGCCATAGTAAAATTTTGCGTTATTTGTGATTTCTTTATTTTTAGCATTTGTTTAGATTTACGTTAAGATCTGGAAGATCTGCAAGATCCTGCAATTTTTATTAGCTCTGAGCCTAATTTTTGTAGATCGATTTTCTTGACATACGTAAGGGAATCCGGATAGGACACTGTACAGGAAAAACTAAACATGGTGATTTGCATTACATGATCAATAAAATCATCATTCATTATTCTAGTCAAACTTGCAGATCATTTGACTATATTTAAAGTTGTTTTTTTATAAATCTGGCCAAATGATCTGCAATTTTGACCAGAATTAGGCAGTTCGAAGTTGTTAACATTTCGCACAACCAATCAAAATTTAGAAATTTTTAAAATTTTTCAAACTTCTAGCGAAGGTTTCTCAATAACTACTTATTCAAATTCAGTAAAATTTTTTTATTTAAATCCCATAATTTTATAAATCAAAATTAAAATAATTTATTGAATTTAATTTAATGGTTATCGAAAAATCTTAACTAGAAGTTTAAGAAAATCTTAGAAAAGAACTAAAGATCAGGCAAAATTTTAAACTTTAAACAAGAAAGTTTTTTTATTTTAATTCCGAAGACTTGTAGAATTAAAATAAAAAAATTATCGATTTATATAGGTAGTTGTCAAGAAAAGTTAAAAAAAAAACTATTTAGCCGCAGTTTTTTTTAAATTTGAATGAAGGTTACTCGATACCAATTCAATCAATTTTTTTTTTATTTAATTATATAAACTTATAAAATTAAATAAAAAAAATTGATCAAATTTGATTAGATAGATACCGAGTAATCTTTGTTCAAAGTTTAGGCGACTACAAAGAAAAATGTAGCGGCCAATTGTTTTTAACTTTTAATGAATATTTCTTAACAGCCAGCTATGTAAACTCAAAATTTAAACTATAGATTCATAACTACGGCCAAAATTGCAAATCGTTTTACCAGATTTAAAATTGTTTTGTTCTAGATCTGGCTAAATGATCTGCAAATTTAACCAGAATTATAATGATGGGTTTTTCTATTTATTAGATGGCCTATATGATTTAATAAATTTATACTACAATAATTATTATTATTTATTAGCCAGAAAATCAAAATCTGGCATCAGTCATAAATTTGACCGGTCAATATCGGTTACGGTCATTAACCGGACCGAGGCCATCTTTAATCGAGAGTGATTTGTACATCCTTTTTTTTATCTGTTCTCCCTCTTTTGAAAGAAAGAAATGTAATAAATCAAATTGGTCTAGCCTAAGTGTGAATAAATTTTATGCGGTATTATGCGCATGTTATTATAAAATCTCATCTCTAAATTTGACTATAGTAAATCACACCTCATTTGTCCTTGAAAATCTGCATATAAAGTAGAATGCCCAATTTTCAAAGGAAATTCATTGAATTCAATATCTTTCGTCTCCATGAATCCAGTTGATTCACCATTTATGTAGAATTCTATACGTTTTTGAGGCTCTGAAAGTGTATAAGCAACATGATATCATTTGTTTAGCTCAAGCTTAGAGTTAATACCTCAATCCGGATATATTTTTTATATCCGGATTAATCCGGTTTTATCATAGTATAAATCCGGA